TGTGAAGGGTGGCCAGTGGCGGATCTAGGAATTTTTCTAAGCTTGGGCAAACCTAATAATCGAGAAGAACTAAAATTAAATTCATATAACCACGTGCACGATTTAGCATAGATCGAGTTCTAATTTATAAAGAAGAGAACCAATGTGTGAAATTATATTGATGAAATGAAACTCGTTAATTGTTAATGTTGAATACTAGACATCTATTATATTATTAAAGGAATAGAAAAAGAATGCTCCACGTTCGCTCTCATGGCCTAGAAATTCCCACGTTAATTAAAGAAAATCTATTATATTATTAAAGGAATAGAAAAAAGAGACTCCACGTTCGCTCTCATGACCTAGAAATTCCCACGTTAATCGAAGAAAAAAACAGAGTCCGTATAGGAATACAATTAGGAAATAACTGAAATTCGGAATTAAAAATAAGGAATATTAGAATAGGAGACTAGAGTCCATATAGAAATACAATTAGGAAATAACTGAAATTCGAAATTAAAAATAAGGAATATTAGAAGTAGAGTATAGAGTCCATATAGAAATACAATTAAGAAAAAAAAATAGAAATTCAGAATTAAAAATAAGGAATATTAGAAGTAGAGTATAGAAATAAGGAATATTAGAAGTAGAGTATAGAATCCATATAGAAATAAAATTAAGAAAAAAATAGAAATTCGGAATTAAAAATAAGGAATATTAGAAGTAAGTATAGAGTCCATATAGGAATTTAAAACTAACTAAAATTTAAAATAAACATAATAAAATTAAAAGTAGAGTTTAGAGTCCGTATAAAAATACAATTTACAAATAACTAAAATTCAAAATTAAGAAAAACATGGGAAGAAGAGTTTAAAGTCAATATAGGAATAGAAGTAACTGAAATTCGAAACTAAAAATTAAAGAATATTGAAAGATGAGTTTAGAGTCCATATAGAAATATAATTAGAAATAATAAAAATTTATAAATAAAAATAAATAATATTGGAAGAAGAGTATAGAGTCTATATAGAAATACAATTTACAGAAAATTTGGAATTAAAAAAAAGAAATATTAAAAGACGAGTCTAGAGTCCATATAGGAATATATATAATTTACAAATAACTAAAATTTGATATTAAAAATAATTAATAACTAACACGTATATAAAATACAGTATGAATATTACACATTAATAGTTTTGTAAAGTTATTGCAAAATTTAAAATTATGTTTAAATATAAAATTTTAATATATTTGAATAATATAATGAGAAAACATATATGCTATTATATGAGAGAAAATATAATGATGCTAGCGCGTAATCTGTATGGGCCACCATGCTAGTTATATGTATATAGCTAGTCACTTTGCTAGTATATGTGCTGATCCACTGATCTCACATCCATTAGAACTAGTTGATTAAGCATGTATATTTGCTATTAGTAGTATTTTACTCAATTGTATGTGGCTGAACGTCTGAGCTTGTATCTAAGCATGTTAATTAACATAAACTAAAAATTACTGCACATACGGCTACATCCAGCGGAGCCCGGGCACTTGCCGAGGCTAGCCGGGTCCTGGCTCCGCCGCTAAGGATGGCTGAAGACACAGGGTGGAGGCGACGGATCTGGCGCCGCCGCGGCCGGATCCAGCCTCCCCATGGGTGGATCCGACGCCTCCAACACCGGATCTGGGCGGAGCAAGCTGCTCCCGGGCGGCGTCGACGGGAGGTAGTGGTGGCGTCTGGTGGCACCGGGTGAAGGAGGACGGTGTGCGCGGAGGACGCGGTGGTGGAAGCTGGTGGCGGTTGTTGCGGAGGCCGGCGCTGTGGCGCCGGCAGCGGGCCTCGGCACGGCCTCGTCATCGCCTCCCTCCCCTGCGGCCGGTGGTAGAGGCTCCTTCCGGCTGGCGATGCTCCAATTTGAGCCTCTCGTGGTCGGATCTGCTGCACCAACACTGGGCTATGGCCTCGACGGCAGCGGTCTTCGGCGCCGGCGGCCTTGCCCTATACCCTCTTCCCTCCCCTTTCCTCCCTCCTCTTTGAGGCGCACTGAACCTTGCTTTGCTTCTTCCCCTCCCCTTGTGCCCTCGTTCGTCTGCCCTCTTCCCTCCCCGATCCAAACATCGCTTGTGACCGTTCTTTTCAATCCGGCGTGCTTGTTTCGGACTTGTGCTCCTCTAGCAGCTCGAGTGGCTGCGGTTCTATGCCCTCCTCTGAAGTCGCCGTTGATGTTCTTCCTCTGTGAGATTCCCCCTTGGTCATTTCCCTTTTATCTAGCTCCCTGCTCATCTTCACCCTCTTCCTCGAGATGTCCAGGACCGCAAGGATCAGCATTTCTCCCTCCTTTGAGACTTCCTTCCCTTGAAGGGCGTTGGAGAGAGTTGATCTAACAAGCAACTTGATAAAACCTGATTAAAGAAAACTCAATTTGGGCGGCCTCTGGCCGCAACCTTCAATGGCCCTCCCTCCTTTGGGGCTTCCTTTCCCCAAAGAACGTTAGCGAGCTCTGATCCAAACAGTAACAAGACCAAGTTAGCTTCTTGATGGCTTCATGCGGGTGGCCTTAGACTTCAACAGCATTCCCTTGGCCTTTCTTCTTTTCCGGCTTGTTTGTGGCTGTGTGAGGAATTGGATGTTGATAAGTTGGGGTTTAGCATTAGGTTGATTTGGTTCTTGGTTGGGTTTTTTTGCAGGTGTCGTTCGTCTATCGTTAACTTTGGGGAGCCTTTACAACCTAGCCTCCAAAGCTTAGCCGCTGTCTAGCTGTAGCACTTTCAACGCTCTGATCGAATTGTTGTTGGTCAGAAATCTTTTCCCGCCCTTTTCATTCATATCCTATGTAAAGGCTCTGACGCTGTCATGCCAAACCTTTGTACTCCCTGTAATATCATTTCTTTTCAATGGAAAATTCAGGTGGGGAAGTTCTCCCATCCGGTGATTTATTAAGTTTTTTTTTAAAAAAAAATCTTACTCCTGGCTAGCTTTAAATTGCGTTTGACAGTGACAGGCCCTCGCGGGCAGGGAAATCGATCCTATCCGCTGGGAAATATGTCAACACGGTGAGGTGGCACGAGTTTGCGCATTTTGCAGTACGCCTCGACTAGCTAACAGGAGTTGCATGCCTAAATCAGTGTGGGATTAGCATCAGGCTTCTGTAGCTGATCAGCAAAGTTTGAAAATAACCCACCCAAATCCATCCACAGCCTGTATCGATTTATGCATAGTGTTGAACCCCTGCTTTACTGATAGCCATACAACTATCTAAGGATGAAAACGGATCAAAAACGGACGGAAACTAGCTTTATCATATTCATTTTCATATTTTTTTTCAGAATCGGTATCGGAATCGAAAACTCGGATACGGAAATGAAATCGAATATTATCGAATACAGATACGGAGCAAATACGAGACGGAACGAATACGGTAGCGACTATTTACCGGTATATAAAAAACCCCTCAAATTGAGTTTTGATAAGGAAGATATATTGCTTATTATTTTAATTCAACATCTCCAACATTTATATTGTCAAATTTGTAGACGGTCCCCCAACAGTACGTGAAAATCGATTTTCATGGTTGTTTCTCTAAGAGATCCATATGCAAATATGATTATCATTTTCTATTCCCAAGACCTTTTACTAGATGTATAACTTACTTACCATTATATAAATTGGAGATGTTATTTATTTTACTTCACATCTTCGAAACTTGTAATGTTTGTTTTATACTTTAAATGCTCTCAAATACAAATGCTATAAACTATAAAGTGGTAGATCCCGTTGAGCTCTACAACTTTAATATGGAACACATCTCCATCAGATGTCGTTTGAATTGTAGATCTGAGATTTTGTAAAAATTAATATGATATATTATAATGAATATTTAGACCCTTAAATGACCCCAAATAATAAAATAGTCAATAAGAAAGTTGTAGATCTCATCGAGCTCTACAATGTTGATATAAATTTTGTCTTCATCTGATTCCGTATGAAGAAGTTATGTATATATACGTGTTTTTTCTAAAATTTGCTCAATGTCTGCAGATATCCGAAAAAAATTCCGGATAGTTTCCGACCATTTTCCGATTCCGACGGATAGTACCCTTACTGTATTCGTTTTCGTTTTCGAGAAAAAAAATCCGAATTCGTTTCCGAATCCGAAAATTTTCCGGATAGTTCCGACCAAAACTATTCGAATCCAAAAAAAGGTCCGAACGGACGGAAACTACTGAACCAGTTTCAACCCTACTACTATCACTGTCAGTGCCTCACTGACGAAGGCAGATTGAATTTTCAGGTTATGAGCCAACAAGGCCTAGCATGGGAAATTGGAGGTAGATACTCCATCCGTTTCAGGTTATAAGATGTTTTGACTTTGATCAAAGTTAAATTGTTTTAAGTTTAACCAAATTTATAGATAAATATAATAGGGGCATTTACAAATTTGCTACCGGTTTTTTCAATATTACAAGGATACCAGTCGAATGATAGTTCTAGTGGTATTTTTGCATCTAATGACAGTTTTACAATAACGATTCAAAGCAATGGTAAATTTGTAATTGTCCTAATATAGTAATATTTACTTTACCAAATTAGTTTTATTAAATTAACAGTTAAATATATTTTTTATAATAAAATTATTTTGGATCGAAAATATTACTATTGTTTTTATAATCTGAAACAGAGGGAATAGCTGAAACTATCCAACTGAGTGGAGTGGTAGAGCTGCGGCTGAGGGGGTGGAGTAAGGGCGGTGGCAGCAGATCGAGAGGAAACTTCGTCTAATCCGACGGAAACGGAGGTAGCCAAGGGGAGCACGCCCTGGTGGTGGATCAGGTGAGAGACGGGAAAAAAGGGAAATGGGAGAGGAGGAAGAAGATTTGATGGCGGACATATTGGGACTCATGTGAGTTTCACTTGTCACTATATTATCGGTATCAAAGTTGACATGGTATAATGAGGTGAGCGATGAGCGGTATTTTAGTCAGGGACGAATTTCAGACTAAGTAGACACATTTAGGAACCTAAAGTGAACTTATTTCATCCATAAATGCATCAAGAAATTCAAGCTTACAACGCAGTAGAATGCAAATGGTTCGACCCACGGGCCTAACACCCACGGGCTTTGTGTTGGGCTACCGATTCCGGCCCAACTAACCGACCAAGGAGGCAATGCGAGGTCTCTTCTGGGTCCTGTGTGACATAGCGGCTCTGCGAGATGGCATGAACGTAAGCCAGTTTACCTCACCGCACGATGCAGCAAGAAATAATTAACTGAAGATCTAACAGTGCATGCATTGGATGCTATAATTATCAGACCCGAGAGTCCAACACATCCGACTACTACATCTATACAAACCACAGAATCGATCATCTCTTCTCAATCGAAACCTTCATCGCCGGAACCGTTTAATTCCGGCGTCTCGCCGCGCGATGCCCAAATTAATAGTATCATCGACGTAATGTACAGGGAGCTACTAGTAGCTTATTAATTAGTAGCGACGTGCCGCCTCCATCGCGGATGATGTCGAAGCTCAAGCTGCCCTGCTCTTGAGCCGCCTGAGCTCGACGACGACGACGCTGATGTTGTCCCTGCTGCCGCGCGAGACGGCGAGCTCGGCGAGGAGCGCCGCGGCGTCGGCGGCCGAGCTGCCGGAGACGGACTCCGGGAACATGGAGGCCGCGCGGCCGTTGAGGCAGTTCCTGGCGATCTTGCACGCCACCTCGTTGGACACCACGTCCCACAGCCCGTCGCTCGCCAGGATCAGGAACTCGTCCTTGTCCGTCCTCTCCACCACCCTCACCTCCGGCTCTGCGCTCACGAACGGCTTCAGGTAGTAGTCGCCTGAAATTCGAGATGCCTTGGCATTTGTTAGTTTTACATATGCCAATGCTATGAGCAGCAAGAGTTAGATTGGGCTTTTTTTTGCTTTTACCTATGGATCTAGAAGTGGCTAAAACACCAAGGACACGGTAACCGTTCCAGTTGATGACTCTGCCTCCAGCTGCTTCCACTCGTTCCAACTCGTCAGGCCGATCTGGCTGCGTAGTCAAAACAAGCATTATTCAGTTTATGACCCTGCATAATTCATGTTACATCTGAACCAGTTTACTGATGGGATCCTAAAATAATATCAGAGTCCACTCAAGTGAAGACACAAAATCGGAGCATCAACCTGTTTACGACAACAGCGCAAACAGTACACTGTTGCTAGTAAGTGGTGTAACCCATATCTTTTTCAGAACGGCGGCACGGGAAACATAAAAAGACAAGGTTCTAGAATGGGGGTAAGCTAGCTGATCGCTGTGCCCAACAGCTAACTTTTGGCACATTTAGTGGCCGAGACGCATCAGACCTACTAACCCATCTCATTGACGAACAGTAGTGTACTGCTGCTACTACCATGCTTTGGAGTTAACCCTGCAGTTGTGCTGTTCAACCGACAAAGTAAAAGGAGACTGTCAACGTGTAAAGCCAGAGATGAAATAGATCTTGCACTTACCACAACCACCCAAGCGACAGTATCAGTAAATATTTTGAATTGAAGTACACGATAATGGCATAATGCACTGTTAGCATCAAGCTATAGTTACATGGGCAAAATTTCCTACTACCTGCGTCCTTGGCGAACATTCGAAAGATCAAACTAGGTACAGTACTATGGAGTAGTAAGCATGCCACGTACGGATCTAACCAAAAAATTAATTGACGGCAATCAGAGCTAAATGTACACGAGTACCATGGATTACACGAATAACATTTGGCCATCCATATATCATTATAAAGAAGTAGTTGTACGGAGTGCCACGTAGCGTACCTTGTGGTCAGTGGAGAGTGGCAGCGCGACGCCACCGCGGGAGAGCACGGCGCGCGAGTCGCCGCAGTTGGCAACGACGATGCGGCGGCGTCCCACGACGGCGACCACGGCGGTGGAGCCCACCGTCCTGAACCCCGACGGCTCGGTGCCGTCGACGCGGGGGGCGGCGGCGGCGACGCTCCCGACGACCTCGCCGTCCATCCTCGCGAAGCTGGCCAACATCGCCTCCTTCCAGCGCACGTCGCCGCCCGACGCGCTCTGCCCCCGCAGCCGCCGCAGGCTCACCTCCTCCGCGAGCACAACGTGCATCCGCTTCCTGCACGCCTCCGCCACCCGCGACCCGCCGTGGCCGTCGTACACCGCGAAGAAGTCCTCCTCGCCCTCCCCGCCGCCCCTGATAGCGCCCGCACCATCCCCCGTCGAAGCCATGAACGTCCGCTCGATGGCCACCGCGTCCTCCATCTCCCTCCGCCGCCCGATCACCGACACCGAGCCGTGCGACACGCACGCCGGCCAGCTCCGGGGAACAACCTCCGTCGACGAGTCATCAGACGACGACCCGTCCTTCACCGACCGGATTCTCTTCGCCGCCGCATCATCCTCCGCCGCCAGCCCGAGCCGCCGGAGCTCGAGACGTCGGCGCCGGCGTGCCGCCGCGGCCTTGCCGTCACCTCCGGCTACTACAACTTCGCACGCGTGCCCCTCATCCGTCGCGCCCGTCTCCCTCATGTCCCACGCGTAGTAGAGAGAGCAACGGAGGAATCAAAGGGAAAGGCTCGCCGAGGAGGGCGAGGCGGGCTTTAATACAAGCCCACGGCGAAAGGTAGGAGAAGCAACCCGAGCCGTCGGATCGCGCGCGGACGGCCAGATGCGCGCCACCGCCGCGTGGGACGTGGACGGACGAGATCGCCGGTGGCGCGTGGCGTGGCCGCCGTCTGGGATCCCGGGCCGGGAGAGAGACCACGCTGCGCCTGGTCCACCGGTACGCTCTCGCGCGCGGTCCATGTGGGCCCATGTTTTCAGTGACATAGGCTTAGGTGGAATGGGTCCACGTAGCGTTGGGATGGTTGGGACCATTAGGTAGGGGAGTGGGGCCCAGGAAGGGGTTTACGTGGAGGGAGAGAGTGGAACGAGGAAGTGTGGGGGCGCCCGCTCCCGCTGCGGCGGGGACAAATGTTAACCAGCGGCAAGGCAAAAGGGCGCGGCTTACGTGCAAGGAAACGAGATTCTACAGGAGCGAGCAAAACTGCAAAAGCCCTCTGTGTTTTTGACCCAAACCGCGCCAAAACCAAACCCACGTCTCACACACCTGGATTCCGGAAAAACAGTGTTGGGTCAAACAAACCACGCCGCGAACAGCCGGCGGATGAACGAGGTTTCGTTTCGGCGTTTCGAATGGCGGAGATGGTCGATGGCGTACGCCCGATTTGGAGCGTGGCGCGGGGGTGAGGGCCGCGTGGCGGGCGAGGTGGACACGCGCGGCGGATCCAGAGGCGCAAGCGCGAGAGGGAGCTCGGCTCATGCCGGGGTGGAAGAGCCAGCGCCATGGCGCGGCCTCGGGCTCCGTTTCCGGCGCAGCGCCACTGCTGCTGCTGAGTGGGGGCGACGTGGAGACGACCCGGGCCGTGGTCTCCGCTTCTTCGTACGAGCAGTGGTGACGTGGTCCGTTGTGGTCAGGCACTCGGTGCAGGCGCGGGATTCGAGGGGTGCCACGACGGCATGCGGGCAGCAACCATGGGAGGGCCATGCCGTTGCTAGCTTTCAACTTTTACGGCAAAGCTTGTTCATTCATGGTGATGCGTTGGATGGCGCTTTTGTCCGGTCGTTTCTGATCTCGACTTCCAAACGAGGGCGCGCACATGCATGCTCGCTCGCTCCATGATCAGTTCGGAACCAGCAACTGTTTTGTTCCAGCTCTCAGGATCTGGACAGGTGTGGTAGCACTCCCAGTACGTCACTGCATTAACTTGAAACCCGTACGTAGCTCCTGATCAGCAAATTAATGTTCGTTGCTACTAGTAATAGGCATTACACGTCCTTCACAATCACTTCATCTGTACTCGAGCCATTTGATAGCATCATGATCACACAGTACTGGACATGAGGTTAAGCGGGAGCAGAGATGCTTTCCCGTTTGAAACTTAATGTCACCTGCACGCTAGCTAAAACAATACTGAATGCTAACAATGTGCCCCTTGGATACTATCATGATCACACTACTGTAGAGTGATGTATTAAAAATAATTGTTGCTAATTCCGAGCTTAGCATATTTAAGAAATTCGAACATAAAAAGGAGCAGAAAATATCATCTCACTTTCTCAGTACTACTCTCAGTACAATAACAGACTATAAGCCAGATATAAACATATTTCAAGAATATAAAATAGGAGAGAGAACAGCAGCGGGCTATAGATTTATAGCCACTTGTAGTACCAATTATAATTTGTATAGTATACGTTTATAGGTAACTATTGTATGAATCGGTTATTAAATTGACTATAAATGATTTAAAGCTAATAGCTGGCTATACCATTAAACTTGCTCTAATACTGGTATCTCTCTAAGCTAGCGTTGTGTTGTCGCTTTCGGAGAACAACGCATGCATCAATGCATCATGATTAATTCATGCATGGCTTAGCTTTTTTAAGATTTTTAAGCACTTAGAGCAGTTACAATAGCAAGCTATAAACCAGCTATAAATATATTTTAAAAAGATAAAACAAGAGAGAGAAGAGCAGCGGACTACAGATCTATAGCCAGCTGCAGCACGAACTCTAAGACGTAATATGTGTATGACAGGTGGGATCAGATATTAATAGTATAGTAAGTAAATATTATATAAATTAGCTATTACATTGGCTATAAATGATTTGAAGCTAATAGTTGACTATACTATTAAACTCTTAGCGAGCTAAGCTCAACTTGTTAGGTCTGATCTGATGCAATGCAAAGCGGACAAGATTCCGCGCGCGGCCGCCATAAGCATGGCCTCGCAAATTTGTGTAGCATCGCCTTGACGGCAATGCAACTGTGGGCGGATCTATCATATGCACGCGCGCCTGAATATATGTGCTAGGCTGCTAGCTACTTTCTCCATCTCATTTTAAATGTGTTATAATTTTTCGTGTCTAATTTGACCGTTTTATTTTATTTTTTTATAATTAACATTATATAATTATTATATGATAAAAACATAAATAATACTTTATGCGTGACTTATTTTTTTAGTTTTTTAAGTTTTTTAAATAAGATATACCATTAAAATTAGACATGAAAACTCATAAGTTATAACTGTGTTTAAAGTGGAATGGAGGGTAGTAGATTGCAAAGCTGCCAACGGTATTATATATGCTGTATTATTATTAGTACAGCGCATGTACTCCTTTATAGTATCAGGAAGCGACTTTCGTAGACGTGGCTCTCTCTCGAACGTGCAATGCATCGTACCATACTACCATTAATATTACCATGTACATTAGTACTCCCTTTATAGTAGTACGTGGTTTCTAGCTGCTTTTCTAAGGCTAATTATCCTGTGGTCAGGTCATTGCAAACTTGCCGTTCCAGCTACGTACCTGTGAAAAAACCACGGCGCGTTCGTCGTGTCCTGCTGAGTGCTAGTACGTACATATATACGTGTCGACATGGCATCGCATTATTCAGCAATTCACTGAACCTGATCATCGATCGAGTGCCATGCAGAGGATGAGACGATAGTTACAGGTAGTGCTCATCCTCTGATACATGTAAACACGCACGTGGTCGAATTCGTTCGGTACAACTCTGGAAAGAGACCGAATCGAAGCAGAGTGAGCTGGACTACCATTGCAGTAGAAGTCCTGGCCCGATCGTAAATACTCCATCCATCGTCCTAATAAAACTTAACTTCGTACTACGATATGATATATTTAAATACTAGATTTTTTTTTTAAGGAATAAAGGGATCACGTAGCATCTCCATCATTAATGGTACGATTGACCTAACGTTTCCGATCGAATCAGCATGCGACGATGCGTTGGCTCGTGAATCTGCCATCGATCGCGTGTGACTGCGTTGCTGCCCCCGCGATCTTTTCTCCGCGCGGACAGCGACGTGCGCGCGCGCGCCATGTGTGTGGCGGAGACACGGATTCCACCCGTGCGCGAGCGCCGTGTTTGGGTTTTGAAGGCGATCGATCGATCGATTCGTTCGGTCTGAGCCGAGCCGAGGCCATGGGGCGTCATATGGCACGTACGTGGCGGGGGACCGATCGTTGCGTCGCGCGCGTTAACATGGTTTGGATTTTTGATGGCTACTCTCTTCAGTTCATTTTAATTAACGTTTCGAATAATGACACGATCACTTTACTTTGACCTTATTTTTCTATTATAATATACACAATAAATAAATGTATGTTTATTTTTATTATAGTGTTTTGAAAGACAAATTTATTTATATTGTTCTAGTTTCTTTAAACTAAACTAGCACAGTGACCCGCGCAGATTGTGCGGCTAGCAGCATTATATTTTCTCTCATATAATAGCATATATATTTCCTCATTATATTATTCAAATATATTAAAATGACAATATAATTTTAAATTTTGCAATAACTTTACAAAACTACTAATGGGTAATATTCATATTATATTTTATATAAGTGTTAGTTATTAATTATTTTTAATATCAAATTTTAGTTATTTGTAAATTATATATATTCCTATATGTACTTTAGACTCGTCTTTTAATATTTCCTTTTTTCAATTCCGAATTTTCTGTAAATTGTATTTCTAGATAGACTCTATGCGCTTCTTCCAATATTATTTATTTTTATTTTTGAATTTTTATTATTTCTAATTGTATTTCTATGTGGACTCTAAACTCATCTTTCAATATTCTTTAATTTTTAATTTTGAATTTCAGTTAATTCTAAATTGTATTCCTATATTGACTTTAAACTCTTCTTCCCATGTTTTTCTTAATTTGGAATTTTAGTTGTTTGTAAATTGTATCTTTATATCTCTACTTTTAATTTTATTATGTTTATTCCAAATTTTAGTTAGTTTTAAAATCCTATATGGACTTTATACTCTACTTCTAATATTCCTTATTTTTTAATTCCGAATTTCTATTTTTATTAATTGTATTTCTATATGGACTCTATACTCTACTTCTAATATTGCTTATTTTTAATTCCAAATTTTTATTATTTCCTAATTGTATTTCTATATGGACTCTATACTCTACTTCTAATATTCCCTATTTTTAATTCCGAATTTCAGTTATTTCCTAATTGTATTTCTATATGGACTCTATACTCGCTTCTAATATTCCTTATTTTTAATTCCGAATTTCAGTTATTTCCTAATTGTATTTCTATATGGACTCTAGTCTCCTCTTCTAATATTCCTTATTTTTTAATTCCGAATTTCAACTATTTCTAAATTGTATTTCTATATAGACTCTAGTCTCATCTTCTAATATTCCTTATTTTTTAATTCCGAATTTAAGCTATTTCTAAATTGTATTTCTATATAAACTCTGCCTTTTCTTTTTCTCCGATTAATGTGAGAATTTCTAGGCCATGAGAGCGTTATTTGTAAATTATATATATTCCTATATGGACTCTAGACTCGTCTTTTAATATTTCCATTTTTTAATTCCGAATTTTCTGTAAATTGTATTTCTAGATAGACTCTATGCTCTTCTTCCAATATTATTTATTTTTATTTTTGAATTTTTATTATTTCTAATTGTATTTCTATGTGGACTCTAAACTCATCTTTCAATATTCTTTAATTTTTAATTTCGAATTTCAGTTAATTCTAAATTGTATTCCTATATTGACTTTAAACTCTTCTTCCCATGTTTTTCTTAATTTGGAATTTTAGTTATTTGCAAATTGTATCTTTTTATCTCTACTTTTAATTTTATTATGTTTATTCCAAATTTTAGTTAGTTTTAAATTCCTATATGGACTCTATACTCTACTTCTAATATTCCTTATTTTTTAATTCCGAATTTCTATTTTTTTTAATTGTATTTCTATATGGACTCTATACTCTACTTCTAATATTCCTTATTTTTAATTCCAAATTTTTATTATTTCCTAATTGTATTTCTATATGGACTCTATACTCTACTTCTAATATTCCCTATTTTTAATTCTGAATTTCAGTTATTTCCTAATTGTATTTCTATATGGACTCTATACTCTACTTCTAATATTCCTTATTTTTAATTCCGAATTTCAGTTATTTCCTAATTGTATTTCTATATGGACTCTAGTCTCCTCTTCTAATATTCCTTATTTTTTAATTTCGAATTTCAGCTATTTCTAAATTGTATTTCTATATGAACTCTGCCTTTTCTTTTTCTCCGATTAATGTGAGAATTTCTAGGCCATGAGAGCAAACGTGGAGGCTCTTTTTTCTATTCCTTTAATTTCTAAATTGTATTTCCATATGAATTCTGTTTTTTCTTTTTCTCCGATTAATATGAGAATTTCTAGGCCATGAGAGCGAACGTGGAGACTTTTTTTTCTATTCCTTTAATAATATAATAGATAGATATTTTTAAAATTATTGATGATCAAAGTTATAAAAAAATTAATTTTAATTTTGTTCGAAACGTCAAATTATGATGTAACCGGACGGAATAGTCAAGTCGGCCTCGCGCGAAAGGCGTACGTTACGTGGGTTGTTCGAGAGGGTTCGGCCTTTTTCACGGCGAGCGACAGATTCCCCCGGCCCCGTCGTGTCAGTGTGTTTCCTACTGCTACGGAGCAGCAGATTTTTGAGGGCCGCGAAGCCACATGTGCAACATGAACAGGATGAGTTCGGTTTGGATTTGGGACGAGAGAGGCAGACTTCAGACTTCTTTGGTGCAGCATCTTGAATGCACAGCGCGCGTACTCTGCCCGCTGACTCATTAATCAGAAGGAACTGGCCAGCGCTGCTGCGTTGGCCCGACAAAGAATCAAAAGGCCGGCCAAGAAACAACCAAGGTCAATATAGGCCGGGAGTTTATGGATCCTCCCCGGTGAGTTCTTTGAAAACAAAAAGGTGGGCTGGAGTTTTAATCTCCGATCAATTTGGGCTAATTCTCTCTACAGGCCTGAAGAAAATCATGGAAGAAAATGAGTTTTTTTTTTAATTTTCTCTCTGAGCCCGAAAAAAAATTATGGAATTTATGGGGGACACGTAGTTTGAAATCAGATTGTTGCAGCTGAACTTCTGAACAGGCAATCACTTTAGATACTCTACTGAAAATTGACCTCAAGGCTCAAAGTAGCCGCGACAGCAGATTTGCCCAGATTCTGCCTGAGGCTGAGTTTAGTTTCAAACTTTTTCTTTAAACTTCCAACTTTTCCATCATATCAAAACTTTCCTACACACACAAACTTTCAACTTTTCCGTCACATCATTTCAATTTCAACCAAATTTTCAATTTTAGCTTCAATTTCAACCAAATTTTCAATTTTGACGTGATCTAAACACACCCTGAATCAAAGCAATGATAGCAGCATGTGTGACTGTGAGATGAGAGGATGTAGTATGCACCACGGTACCCACCGTACGCAACCTAAAGAAAAATGTGTTGGCAAGAAATACGGGGCTCCTGATCTTTCTTTGAACCAAATATACAGGGCCGGTACAGTGATATTTACATAACTACTCCATCTGCCTGAATCTTGCTGTAACTGATGCAGGAAAAAGACTGGAATGGAACTATCCAACATATCAAGTACTAGCTAATAGCTCATCTTCTGAGTTTACAATGATGGAAATGAATCTGTTGTTTTACAAAGCAAGAACCCAGATTGTTGTGGTGACAGAATTGAAACTTCTGAATATCGGCAATTCAGTCAGACGAGGTAACGGAGCACTCATATATAATCAAAAGTCATAAAAAGACCCCTCGAATTCAGCTTCTGTCATCAAATCAACAGTTTCAAAATTCTGAAAAACGGTGGGTTAGTTGATTGTGCCAGCAGCATCCCGCATCCGGACCCAATCCTCTCGATCTCCTCCGGCCATCTGTTTCCCTCCCTGCTAGTCAAACGCCTCCAAGATTGCTCCTGCCGCTGCAAGAGGAAAGCTGCTTCCTTAGGGGCTTCGGGCTGCTACTTATTCACTGGACATCAATAATCGAACCTATAGAAGAACAAACGATACAAGACAGTTTAGTTTGTGATAAATCGTGCATTGCCAAGCAATCGGCATACGACTACTATTTATATCAAAGATAAATATCTGCATTTTGCAAAGCTAGCTGAAATCAACAAACATCGTCTCTGATCTCAAAAGAAACAACATCTATCTTAGCACGACAACTTTATACTCTACATAGCCACAAGAGGAGACAAGAGTACAACGCACGGTAAATTAAGGACATCTTAGCCAGATTACCAACAACATACCTCACCATGACAAACTAAATTGAACACCATCACCAAGCTTCACCAGAGGCCCTCCATTGCGGCAGACTGGCAGCTCTCTTCAACAAATTTCTTAACTTGGTTGCTGGTATCTCAATCTTGAACCTAAATAGATAATGTTAGAAAGCTTTCTAAAAGTATGAAGTGTTAGTGCGGCTAAGCAATGCATACAGCTCAAGATGACAATACTCTGGCCTAGAGGCGACGCGGACAAGAAGCTAGCTGGGAAGTTTCCACAGAAAAATGTAGTTTCTTCTGAAGAACTAGATGAACAAACAAACATTACTAAGTAGAACTGGACACTACATGTACATACAAAAATAAGACAAAAACCAATCATGCAATTGACTTTGAAGATAAATTACTCAGTCACATTAGAATATGCCTCCTTGTGATCTACTTCTTGAATATTGAGGGTAACTTCAGTCAGGAGTCGCATGTAAGGAAAAATTCTATATACAGCAGTTCTCCTCCATCACTTGATCAAAATAGTTAACAAAGACATTGGTTGCTCTGCTACTTAGTCAACAAATCCGCAAATGGGAAAGCAATAGCATATCCTCCCTTGTTAGTCGTTAAAATAATTCACATATTTACATCTTTTAACTTTGTTCTTCAAAAAAATGATTGCATTTCCATGTCCATGTCCTAACTTCACTTGTCCTCTGGAGCTGCGACTTTAATGACTCTCTGGTCCCACCTCAACATTTATACTCAGCAAAAATGCTCTTGAATCACATATATGGCCAATCAGCTCCATTCAGCTGATTCACGAGGCTTTATGCAATCGACCTTTGAGAACCACATATTATATAGTTTTTTTTTAAGAAAGGGCAAAAGCTTTGCCACTTTTATATTGACATATTATATAGATTGAATCACCAATAGTCATCACATGAGCAGACTCCATCTTCTATACAATGAAACCGAACAGTGTCCCTTACAACTATTCTTCTGCCTGTGGCAAGTGAAATGAGTTTGATGGCAACATGGCAATCATCACATATCCTGACGTTTTTCATTATACGAATAGCTTCTCCCTTGGGGGTGCGAATAAGGCCAAATGCAAGAGCTAATTTCTCACTGTGATACATAAGATGTTCTTCCTTTTGTTCATCCTCAACATCATGTAGGGCCACTGCAATGTTTGGAACATATCCAATCACTTTTATCTTGTCTATCAGCTCTTGGAGTTTTTTGGTGATCTGCTCCATATATGGGTGTTTTTTGTCCTCAGATGTGAAAACATGGACCTCACTACCCACTTGAATCCAACTAACACCAGGCTCCTTCCTAACGCCCAACTCTCTCATCAGCCTCCGAACCTTCACGACACCATCCCACCGGTTTGCTTTCGCATACATATTAGAAAGCAAAACATAGGTTCCAACATCTTTGGGCTTTAACTGAAAAATCTGTTCAGCTACTCGATGACCAAGACCATAATTTCTATATACTTGGCAAGAACTTAGAAGTGATCTCCATGCAACAACATCGGTACCAATGCAGTTACTTTCTATGAATCGTTCTGCCTCGTCAAGCCGTCCAACTCTGCACAGCAAACCGACCATGCAAGTGTAATGTTCCTTACCAGGTTTTACTCCCACTTCCTTCATCATAATATTCAGGTAGTAGAACCCTTCATCTACAAGACCCAACTGAGCACAGGCTGACAGCACCCCAATGAAAGTTACATAAGATGGGACTTCTTCTGCAAACAACATATCATGAAATGCTTCCATGGCTTCTCTTGCACGGCCATGATGAGCGTAGCCAATGATGATTGAATTCCAAGAAACCACATCACGACATGGCATAGAAAGGAAGACTCTCCGTGCATCCTCAACACTGCCACTCTTTGAGTACATGTTCATGAGGGCATTACAGACAGGCAAAAGGCCCCAATGCCCAGTTTTCATAGTACATGCACCAAGGGCATTACCATTTTTCAAGGTGGCAAGACCAGCGCAACTGTTGAGAGCAACAGCATAAGTGAACTCATTAGGCCGAACTCCTTCCATTTCCATATCCAAGAACAACTGCAATGCATCTTCAAACAGCTCATTTTGTGTATAAGCAGTCATAATGGCTGTCCAGGAAACAATATTCTTTTCTGGCAAAACCTCAAACACGCGATTAGCTTCATGGGGAAAGTCACATTTCCCATACATATCAACGAGTGCACTCCCCACATACACATTCAGCTCAAGCCTCCTCTTCAACGCTTGGGTATGCACCTGACTCCCAAGCACCACCTCTTTCGTGCTAGCACAATGCCCAAGAACTGCGACATATGACACATGATCCCATTGCCCGACATTTCTCACCATGCTTCTTACTATACTGGTGGAACCATCCATCTGGCCCCGATCAAGAAACCCATTTATCATTGAGTTGAACGCGAATACATTAAAACTGGAAACATTATCAAATACCTTCACCGCTTCGTCCATGTGTGCACATTGGCAATACATATGCAGCACCGCACTACAAACGTAAGGGTGCTCTGCTAGTCCAGCCTTGATAGCATATCCATGGCACTGCCTCCCCATATCATAGCTCCGGACATGGGCAGTCGCGGCCACAGCCGACGACAGCACGTACTCATTCAGACCAAAGTCAGCCACCCTGAGGAGCGCGAGGGCGTCCCTGTGGCGCCCGGAAGAAGCGTACCCGGACATGAGCAGGTTCCCAGACACGGGGTTCCGGGAGGGCATTGCGTCGAACACCTGGCGGGCGAGGCCTAGGCGGCCGCACTTGACGTACAGGGCAATGAGGTTGTTGTACTGGACGACGTCGAAGCGCGCGGCCCTGACAACCCTCGCGTGAACCGCCTTCCCTAACGAAAGCTCGCCGGCGGCGGCGGCGGCGCGGAGCACGGCAACGGCCGCGCGCCGCTGGTCGACCGATACTCCCATAGGGCAAGCTCGGGCGGCCGCCATGCCACAGCCGTCCCCGTAAACCCCCCACCCCTCCCCTCCCGGCGTGCTCAAGCTCCTCAGCCGGCACCACCGGAGTTGGGAAGGAGGCGCGGGGGCGCCGGAGTTGGGGGGGAGCAGGCGCGCGGGCGGCGGAGGTGGGTCCCCTTATCCTGCGCGGGGGAGCCCCAGACAACAGCAGAGAACACCGGAGCTGCGAGGAATGGTGGCGCGGCCGCCGGAGTTGGGGAAGAAGGCGCGCGGGCGGCGGGGTTTAAGCAGAGCCGCCGCCAGCCGCCAGAGAGAAGGTTTGAGTGTTTTCCATGGGCCTATTCTGTGACCTGTCTGTTGCCGGCTGGACTCGGCCTACTCCTCCTACAAGGCATCGTCCTTCTTTTCTTGGGCCCAACGCCATTTCCCGGTATTCCCAAATATAATGAGCATTAATCCTGTGATTGCCATCATAATCGTCGTGTTAGAGCAAATTTAATAGTATAGCCCACTACTAACTTCAAATTATCTATAATCAATATAATAACCAATTAATACAACAGTTGCTAACTATACTATTAATACCTGGTCCTACATGTCATACACACATTATGTCTTATAGTCTGTACTACAGCTGACTACAGATCTATAGCATGCTGCTATTCTCTCTCTTCCTTTATCTCTTTAAAATACATTTATTGCTGGCTTATAACCTGCTATTATTGTACCTGCTCTTACCTATGCTATTACTTCGTTTTCTTCTACTTCCCCCATCCCAAAATGTTGCAACCCTGGAGGTAGGGGTGAAAACGGTACAGAAACTTTCCGGATTCCGGACCTATTTTCGAAAACGGAATCTGTTGGTCGGAATTTTTTCGGAAACTGAAACGAATTCGGAAATATTTTCTCGGATACGGAATCGGAAATGATAAGGGCAGTTTCCGTCGGAACTCGGAATCGGTCGGAAACTTTCCGGAAATTTTCTTGGAATTACCAGAAATTTTGTGACTGAAATACCCTAAATTCTTTTTTTAAGCACTAAATAGTGAATACCATGGTGTTTGGCTGTTATTTTTTAAAAATATTTGTTATGCAAATCTAAAATTACATAAGAATATTTTTTTTTCCTATATTGGGATTTATCAACAACATTACTCTTTTAAATATAGATAATTTATTCAATTGGATTTATCAGTTTGAGGGGTTTTTTATTCCGATAAATTTTCGTTACCGTATTCGCGCCGGTTCGTTTTCGCTCCGTTTTCGGTTTCGATAATATTTGATTCCGTTTTCGTATCCGGGGTTTCCGATTCCGAAAAAAAAATGTGAAAACGAAAATGATAAAAATGGTTTCCGTCTGTTTCCGTACCGTTTTCACCCTTACCTAGTAGCCGCCACAGAACAAAAGAAACTAGTGCTCGATGGGACACAACCTAGTACTATCCAGATTCACATTAATAGGATAGGAAAATGCTACGCATACGATCTTTTTAGTACGATCTTGTTACGATAAGACGCAACGGCATGGATGGCAGCGGAACGCACGGCGCGGACGGCAACGGCAAAACGGCACGCACGGCGCGCGCGGCAGTCTAAGCGTACTTATGGGCCCTAAAGCCCAATTCACCTCTAAACCTGACTTTACGTTCACTACTCCAAACCCTAAATCTGACTTTCATGTTCTGATCTAATCTGCAAGTGTGAAACTAATCCAATAGCATACGCATCGAAGACGAAGGTATGGCATCTTATTTACTTGATATTCTTTAGCTTCACAATCATCTTTTTTTTTACATTATTCTCTCTTTCTTTTTTTTCCTAGGCAATGTTCATGGCCATGAAATGCTTTCTTTATTATTATGGATTTAATCTAAAATTTTCCTTTGCAAAACATATGCCATTATTTTTAATTCAATCTGAAACTAGGGTTAATGTTATCACTGTCCAAGGTTCAAGGAACATATTTGTATGCGTAATTTGCTTAACCATGCCACATGATAAATTCAATGTTGAGTGCTAAGTACGATTACTATATACAGTAAGATATTAGGAAGAGGATTGCTTAAGATATGATTGAAAAGAAAATTGCTTTGGTTGGCTCATTGGCTGTCCAAGTAGGCCAACAAGATAGCAGGCCAGGACGTCAGGAGCTTGGGCTTGGATATGGGATCAACTGAGGCCTGAGGGATCCGTTTGATCGTACAACCATCGTACGAAATAATTCGTACGTATAGCAGCGCTGAATAGGATACTACTACGTCTTAACTAGTACTACTTCTGACTCAAAATATAAGAGATTTTAGAGTGATGTGACATATCCTGGTACTATAGATCTAGGCTGGCTTCCTGTCTAGATTCGTAGCACTAGAAAATATCACATCCCTCTAAAATCATTTATATTATGGGACCAAGAGAGTATTGTATTGTTATGTTTTGGGACGGAGAGAGTAGTATTCATCTTCGAGTTTTAAACTCTTCTTTTTTAAAGAAAAATGTATAAATATCTGAATGTATGCTATGTTAACGAGAGAATGTATCTTATTCACATAAGTCTTTTCGTTTACACACTATGCACGCCAACTAAAAAATATCATAAAAAATTATACAAAAAATTGTACATGTACTTTGATTAGTATTGCATCTATGTGTAAAGTAATCATCTTCAAATTCATAGGGAGTAAAAAAAAAGACAAATTTATACTTTTAAAACTATTAATTTTTTTCTTTTATATGGTTAAAATATAATGAATTTAAGGTTGAGACTTTACAAATAAGTAAATTTTATTGGTTGGTGTACACGAGAAGACTTGTGTGCACAGGGTATGTTACCTGTTAACGAAGCATGCAGCTTCCTTAATACAACCATAAAACTTTCGTACATCAACCATCTAACCATTCAAAATTTATTTATGGTCAAAGTTAAAATTACATTAGTCTACAGATATTTCAAAACCGAAGGGAAGGGAATATTAAGGGCTCATTTGACATACATGGATTATATATATATATATATATATATATATATATATATATATATATATATATATATATATATATATATATTTATAGAATTCAGTTCAATAAAATCTCTCAAAATTGATCCATTCCAGAGGAGGTATATCCAGCAGTAATTGTCAATGAAAGATATAGCATTCATCTCAACAATTTGTTCATTGTTCGGTGGATCTCTCATCCAACTTTCATGATTGCAAGACGAAGTTGGAGCCTCAGTTGGAATCCATGCACAAGTGAAGCGAAGCTCTGGAGATCCCTTAGTTGTAGGGAACATATCAGGTGCACATATCTACATTGGTGAACAAATGCACAAACTGAACCAGTATATCTTAGCCCCTGTAGTCTCTTCTTATACACTCCAGAAATCAAGCAAAAGGTAGCAAGAGAACAAAATTTTCCTATTATAAAGATGGCAAAAAGGATATATATTCTTTCAGATAATGGAACAGAAAAATCATATGATATAGGCATTGGAACTATTTTTCCAATCCATGAAAAGGGAGTATATTGTCATTAGTCTTTCCAGCCATCTTTGGTAGATCTCCTTGAAGCTAGACCTTTGGATGATAGGTTGGGCATATGTCTGGTTGGCGTCAATGGCGCCTCATCATCCCACTCGTCTCCCCAGTTGTCATCCCACTGATCAGATTGATCTGCTTCTTTCTTCCCTCCAGTCGAAAGAGGAAGCTCCGCCGCATCAAGCTTCTGGTATGCAGGTCCACCATCTTGGATACCTCTTCTCCGAAGTTTAATGCATGCTACCACAGCTCCAATAAGAAGAAAAACAGGCACTAACATGTATTTTGAGGTAAGCCGCATTGGCATTACTTGACTTATCTCCCTCGCAATTGCTCGGTGAATGCTAATATTGCAGGTCTCTTCAGCAACTCTAAGAATTATTGTCATGTTTGGTGCACCGTTGTTAAAAATAGTCACCTGTGTCTAAATTAACAATATGAAAATAAAAAAGAAGATCAGTACATCGATTGAAAACATTGAAACAGCATGAGAAAGATCCAGTTCCCCTTGAATAAAAGCTGATAAGAACAGCAATAGTATACTGACATTCTGCTAATCCTGAGATACACTATCAACAAGAACTCAAAATAAGCTAATGCAATTATGCATGTATATAAATCAATATGGGAATAACCTACCGCAGTTCACGTGAAATATATAACTCACGAACCAATTATATGACAAAACATAAATTAATGACACCATGAAGCCAGGATCTTGGTAAAGAGCAACTATCCTTCTATAAGCTTGCAAAAAACAGCTACTCTATTTTGAAACAACACATACAGTAGATAGTACATATGGGAAAAAATAAGCCAGAAAACCTGCAGTATAATCCTCTCAAAAGCTCGCTGGAAAAACTTTCATATCAATAAAGAATATAAAAGACAGTCTCTTCTGAAATAACATGTGTGGAAGTAACACCATGCAAATATTGCATAAAGAAAAGTTAAGCCAGAAAATCTCATTACTATAATTATCTTCAAGATACTCATTTGCATTAGCTCACCTCATTATGATCATTTGCTTGGACATGGATGGTGTCTTCAGCTGAAGTGACAAATTCTGGAGTTGTAATACCAACATAAAGTGGGTCCATGCCTTTGTTGTCCATCAGAAGTGATAGAGCTAATGAATCTGATTTCAACGGTAACAAGTTATTTATGTGCAAAACATAGAAAAATCTAATTAATAAGAACTAACACGACTATATCCATATGTGATGCAAAACCTTCAGAGAAAAAACAATGAAAATATATCTTTGCAAAGTATTTTTTAGGTAGGTGATAACATCACAGGTACTTTTGCAGAAACATTATTTGCTTAAATTCGTCAGGGGCAAAATTTGCTTGTGATACAGCAGTTGTATTGCATATTCAATTTGGTCCCAGACATTGTGTTTTTGGTTAGTATAGATAGCTCCAACTACGCAATCAATTGTCACTTCATCAGCACTAGTCGTGGCTATAAGTTGACAATAGTGAATTGCAATTGGTCAAAAATAATTGCTGACTGGGGAAAATTACAGTTGCAGACCAATTTACGTGTCAATCTTTTTATCAACAAACCCAGTATTTGGTAGCACTAATTAAGGCAAGGTCAAATCAAAGATAAAATAACTGCCATAACACAATTTGCAAACGATCTGTCAAAAAGGAAATGAGAACTTTTCGTGAAGACAGGTATACTGCTATACTACAACAATGATGGTGCACTAACAGAGATTAGAGAAGACTAGTTGCCGAGAAAATCACCTTCTCCAGGAACTTTCAAGCAGGCGATGAACTTTTTATTTTCAATTACACATGTATGAGATGGGTCACACCCCTTGATAAGAGGATCTTGTGAGAAGTCTGTTACATGCGAGGATTTTGCTGTGTTGATATCTTTATCCACATGATGCACAGCTGCCGCATATTTTGCCGTGCTAATAACTTCTGTTGATTTGTCCTTCTTGTTGTTCCCATCAGGGTCATTCTTTCCTTCATCATGATGTACTGTATTAGGATTTGTTTCATCATGCCGTCCTGTCTTCCCACCATCTGAATGTGCTATGTTGTTGTCATTATTTTTGTCTGCTTGTAGAATATTTGTTTTATCCTAAATTCAAAATGAAACAACATATCAGCAACAACAATGAAAACAAAACAGATTATGGCATTTGTTAGTCACTGGATCGAATTAAGTTTTCATGGTAGGTATTGGTGAATTGAGCTTTGACTGACCATCACAAGTTAAGTGAGAGCAACGAAATCTTTCATGCGACTTGAGAATCACAAATAAGTGCACGAACTCTAGAGTGCACAAAAAGGCGATAGAGATGCATTGCCGATGGATTGAAGCATAAACAGCTACCATCACCAGCAATGATCTCGCCATCTAATATTCAAGTCATCCCAAATACAGAAGGGATGACAGCTTTTATGTTTCGTCAGAACTAAAATGAGCCAACGTAAGCACAAGTTAATTAGTAATCAGTAATCATTCAACCAAGTCGTATATAAATCTGTGCATCTATAGCCATCTATCTATACCTTACTTGCTCCAGTTACTTAATGCAAATAATACTTACAAATTTGGAAGATATTACACCTTACCTCTTCTGCGGCTGCAGCAATAACAAGCAGGCAAACCAGTGGGAGCAGCCGCAGGCCGCACCACCGCATCCCGCCGGCACAGCAACAGCAGCAGCAAAGCTCGCACTGCCCCGCCCCCAAATCCAACCCAACCCAACCCAACCCGAGCTGGTCCGCACCGCGCGCCGCCGGCCGGGCCGGAGATCCGGGGGCAGAGCGGAGTCGCCCCAACCCGCGTGCCTGCGATAGCTGATGGGTTCCCCGGAGCCCGGAGGAGACGAGGAAGAGGAACGAGCAGCCGCGGCCCGCAGCGACGACGAGCATCCGACGAGAAAGCAGTTGGGACTTGGGAAGGGGGAAGGAAACCGCCACCGGCGACTGAAAAAAGAAAAAAAAAAGATCGCGCAAAACGAAGACGGCCGTGACTGCGGCCAAGGAGGAAAAAAAAAATGTTCTTTTTCGCCGGCCGGTAACGCATCACTGCAAGATTCAGTGCAGTCCTAACTGGGACCGCAAGTTAGGAACTGCGTATCATCTTAGCTATCCATTTTTTCAATGAACGGTCTAAATCTGATGCTATAGTGTTGCTGTCACAGTAGTTCTACAGTTTTTTAAGATGTGAACAGTATTTTATAGATTTTGAACCCTTAAATTTACATCAAAAGGTACTAGGTGACTGCTTATGTTGCAGTCACACTAGGTACTGCACCGGATCTAAATCCGTCTGCATGTGTCCAAAGGGAAAAAGGCACCAAATTACTTGCAGTTGCAGGCTTGCTGTATTTTCTTAATCACTGGTTGATTCAGTGTAAGGAATAAACATGGTGACTGTTTGGAGTACTAACACCGTGTTTAGTTCTAAACCTTTTTTCAAACTCCATCACATCAAAACTTTTCTACACACATAAACTTCTAATTTTTTCATCACATCGTTCCAATTTCAACCAAACTTCTAATCTTAACATAAACTAAACACGGCCTTAAGTTAATAATCACCGAAAAGGACATCATTAGACCAGAGTTTTTGGACTTGGTGATTTACTCTAGTGGCTCTCCTTTGATTTTTTTTAGAGAAGGTTATTTTCTACCCGACCTCCATATCCAACCGGATATATACAGCCATTGAGATAGGGAACTTAGCCCCGTAAACAACCTAATCTGAAATTCACTCCATAGAAGATTTTAACTCAGAACCTCGTACTACTTTTGTACTACTCAGGCTCTCCTTTGATGGGGCAGTATATTACTCTCTCCGTTTCATTTTAAGTGTAACCATGAGTTTACATGTCCAACTTTGATCGTCCGTCTTATTTGAAATTTTTTATAATTAGTATTTGTGTTGTTATGAGATGATAAAACATGAATAGTATTACTTGTGACTTATGTTTTTATATTTTTTTAAAAAAAATTTAAATAAGACAGATGATTAAAGTTAGGCGCGTAAAATCATGGCTGTAATAAGACGGAGGGAGTATCACTGTATCGTATATTTGGACACAATCAAGCAAGTCAGTACTGAGAAATAAAAATGATCTGTACTGTAAATGCCAAGTTAAGTACATCAGCACGATGTAGCACGTTGTACTTTTGTACCGCGGATCAGGTGCAGATTCAGGGAATGATTGAGTAGTCTGCTCTACAGCCATTCACTGGTGGGCTGGGCCGTGGGCTTCCCAACGGTCCAAGGTCGTGCACTGCAGGAAATGGGGCCCAGCCCGAAGCATAAGTGCAAACAACAGCCCAGGTAGGTGGCACACCCGCGCCACTGGACTGACAGCAAGTGTGGGTGAAACGGAAGAGGAATAAGTTCACTTTAGGTTCCTCTATCTGTCGGCCAGTCCAATTTTCGTCCCTGAACCTCAGAACCGGGTACGACCCGTCCCCCAACTTATGAAAACCGGGCACATAAGGTCCTAAGGCGGTTTGGATAGCGGTTTTGGCTGACGTAGCGCCTACGTGGCTGGTTTGACTAGGTCTCCATCTCACGTGGTACTGACGTGGTGCTTACTTGGCAATTCAATTTGGAAAAATATAATACCCATGAGACCCACATGTCAATTACATAAAAAAATAATTAATAAAAATAATTAATAAAAGGTGGGCTCGCGTGGACCCCACATGTCAATCCCACTCCCATCTCCTTCCTCCTCACTCCCCGTCTCCCCTTCTCTTCGTCTCTCTCCGACTCTCCCCCCTCTCCTCTCTCTTCTCCTCTCTCGGGTGCGACGGCCGGCGGGGTGGACGGCGTGACAGGCGGCGAAGAGATGGGTGACTGCCGGCGAGGAGGATGGCGCGACGGGCGGCGACTGGCGGGGAGAAGGAGCGCCCGGACGGGCGGCGACCGGCAGGGAGAAGGGGCGCCGGGACGGGCGGCGGCCAATAGGGAGGACGACCGACGAGCGGCGGGCGGCGCGCGTGATGACCCGGGCGGTGGTGGGCAGTGAGGAGGTCGACGGTGGGCAGTGAGGAGGGCAGCTGCCGGTGCCCGTGACGAGGATGAGCCGACGAGGGCTGGGCGGTTTTGACGGTGGGCACCTCGGGCGCTGCCGCTCCACCGCCTCCCCCACCTTGTTCCGGTCGCTTCCACCCGGACCACCCCGGCCGAAGCCTGCAGCTTGCAACCGCTGCGGCATGTCCGGCCATCGCCTCGAGAACTGCCCGCTGGAGCGTCGTTTCCTCGCCAGGCTAGTAGCCCTCTGCCAGTACGCCATGCCCGCCGTGCCGGAATCTCTGCGCCGCACTGCAAGTCTTGATCACCATGCTGTAGTCTGTCGCAGCTAAGGCGTCGGTCGTTGAACCATGACACACCGAAGCCTGCCCGTCTCACCGGCTGACAGAGAAATCACTCCTTCGCTTTCACCCAATTTCAGTGGCTAATCTGAAGAACTCTGATGATCCCAGACGGTGAACAGTGAACTGAAAAACTGAGTACGGAGAAACGAACAGAGTGCAAACTCGGAGTTTTGGGCTGCGAATTACTTGCAGCATTTGACAAATACGCCCAAGATTGCATTATTTGTAACACCGGCCCCCCAAAGCCTCGTCGCGCTCCACACATGTCAACGTCGAGCCTCCAGAGCTCGAGCCTTCGGACATGTCACCAGTGCAGCAGCGTGGTGTTCATGGGCGCATCTCGTACCAGGTCGGCCCCGTCGTGTCTCTTTGACTCGTCGTCGACAAGGCCACTGGCAAACCGAGGGCCTTCGTGTTCGTCGAGTACCTCCCACAACACCTGCCGCAACCTCGACCGCCACGCCTATTGCAGCCGCGTGCTCCGTGTCGGCCTCGCCGAACTGGAAGTAGCAGGGCGCTCGCGCGGCAGCGGCGAGCCGCACGAGCTGGTGGGCATCGAGGACTCCACACACGCCGCATCGCTCGTGAAGGGGGCACCACCCAGCGCCGACGACAGCTGTGGAGACGGTGGGCGCCGTGGAGGCCCAGGGAGACGTCACGCGCACCGCTGGCCGCGTCGCCGTTGTCCCCCGCCGGAGCCGGTCGCCCCCGCCGCCGGGCTAAGTGGGTCCCTCTATTTGGTCGCCTGCTCGGCCGCCCACCCGCGCCGCCGGCTGCCCGGGAAGGAGAGAGAGAGGGGAAAGGGAAGAAGAGATGAGGAAGATGAGGAGGCTGACACATGGAGCCCACGTGGGCCCCACCATTTTAAAATTATTTTTATGTGCAGCTGATATATGGGGCCACACTTTTTATTATTTTTTCGAGATATACTTGCCACGTCAATGCCACGTGGGACGGAGAACTAGTCAAACAAGCCACGTAGGCGCCACGTCAGCCAAAACAGACTTCAAACCCGTTGAGGGACCTCGTTTACCCGGTTTACATAAGTTGAGGGACGGGTCGTACCTGGTTTTGCGGTCAGGGATGAAAATCGGACTGGGCGACAAATAGAGGGATCCAAAGTGAACTTATTCCAACGGAAGAGGAGAAGGCCCATAATTCATAGTGGGCCGTACTTGAGGACTGGCCCAAATTTTGCCGTTCGTCTTTGCATTGCAGGTTTTTCTCTGAACCTGATTCGGCTCTTGCCGCTCACAGATCCAGCCAGCTTCTTTCAAGGCGAAACTGATCAATGGTACTGACCAAAATATGAATATTTTTTTTATTTTTTCATGAAGTAATGAAGAGAAAGGTAAAATTAAATAGGTGGACTAGTCGTAATTGGTTAAGATGAAAGAGTAAGTAAAGAAATTAAACAAGAGATACATTGTGTTTGATTGAGATGAATAAGTATGCCAAGAAATTATTATATTTTGAGATAATTTTAAAATGCTAGAAACTGCTATATCTTCGGACGCAGAGCAGTAGATCATTTGTCAGATTGGATGGATTGTGCTACTGTACATGCATAGTGTTTCAGACTTTCAGCAGGTGGAGCAAAATGGATTCAGAATGTTGTCAAGAGTTTTACCTATTGTTTCAGAAATCAGAACTCCAATTGCAGTCTGCAGTCTGCATACTCCCTCCGTCCAAAAAAAAAAAAAGTCAAACCTGGTTTCCTACCAACGTTTGACTGTCCGTCTTATATAATTTTTTTTTATAATTAGTATTTTCATTGTTGTTAGATGATAAAATATGATTAATGCTTTATACGTGACTTATCTTTTTAATTTTTTCATAATTTTTTTAAATAAGACGGACGGTCAAACGTTAGACACGAAAACTAGGGTTCGTCTTTTTTTTTTTTTTTTGGAAACAATACGATCATCTTTATGGTCTTTGATTGATGAACCAGCAGTGGCGCCAATCCATCCGTGGCTACAAAAGCATGTCCACGTAGGACAGGTGGGCCCCACCGGAAGCGTCTCTATTTAAAACCTCGCCTCTCACTGTTCAGTGTTCAGTGCCACCACCATCTTCTTCTTCTTCTTCTTCTTCTTCCTCAAGACTACCAATCCAATCTCCTCCTCGCCGCCATCGCGATCTCCGCCGCCGCCCGCCTGTCGCGGCCATGGCATCCACCAAGATCAAGGTCGCCAACCCCATTGTCGAGATGGACGGTCAGTCTGATCCCTCTCCCATTTTCCCCTCCCTACACGGATCTGCTACTAGTCTCCAATGGATTCCGGCGTGTCCTCAATTCGTCATGCGTATCGTTTTGCGACTCTGTTTGAGCTTATCTTTAGTCTAGGTTCAGTAGCGTGCCACAGGAAGCCTCTCGGATCTACTAGATCCTTTGCATTGTGCTTGGTTTGGCTAGAATTGGGGATCCGATTCGCGATGCGAGTTTTTTTTTTTTTTTTTGAGGTGGTCGAGTGCTCCTCTCGAGATATGGCACATTGGCACTCACGTGCGTTTCCGGATTGGATTTTCCGTTCGCAGGTGATGAGATGACTCGAGTATTCTGGAAATCTATCAAGGACAAGGTAATGGACAGGCTTGCTGATTGATTCTTTCTTGATGTGCTTTCAACTTTCACTGCTGGTGACTGGTGTTCTTATAAAAAAGGACA